GCCTTTTCAAGACACATGACTGACTAAATGGTCACTCTATTCGGAACCTAGAGGGGGGTTCGGGGCTGTGCGGAACCTAACTAGTCTTCATCAGGGATAGTGATGCATGGGGTATCCTCATCACCATCGGAGTTTAGGGCCCATGGTCCGACAGCTATTGGGAGATCTTCATCCAGGAGATCATCCAGTTCTGGGAGATACCTTTCCTATTGTTCCTGCATTTCCTTAAGGGTTCTTTCGGTCCTCTGGGAATGAGCACCCGTAAATGGGTAAAAACTGTTCTTTGCTGAGAAAATTCGCTTACCAACTGAGATCCGGTAGGATGGCCATGACGTGGTGTTCAATCAAATCCATGTGGTGTTCAAGGTTGGGGAAACGACTGAGCATATCTTTTGAGGTCTCGTAACTCTCAGTGACACGTTACATCAGACGAGTGGTTCGGTGTAAATTATGGTGTCCACTATGAGAAAACTTAAATTTGAAATTTAGTTGTTTAAGCACATGCAACAGATCTTCTGCATAAACGGAAACACGGTGTTGCCCAACCAAAAAGGGTTGTAGAACACCTTCCTAGTTTCTAATGGGGACGTAGATGCAAGGTTATTGAGAAGACATGTTGGTCTCGTGATCGAAGATTTCGGTCTGACAGGTACTGTTGTCAGGATTGAAGGTTGATTGCCTATTTATTCCATTGGTTGCCGATGTTTTGGCCTAGTTTGTGGGATTGAGATTTCAAATTAACCAAGTGTTGGCTCAAAACAAGGTAAGGCGTAAAAGACAATGTCCATTATAAGTTGAAAATTTACAGGGTCGTTACAAAAGTGAGTTGATTGCGGCCAGGATGTTTAACCACTTTTGGTTTAGCCTGGCCGCACTCCGTTGGGCAACCGAGGAAGTTCTTTCTGCCCACTGTCTGGCTCGGTAGATGATCTCCAGTTCATGTACAAGTGCTCTCCGGTTGTCTGATTGGCTTTGCACTATTTGATGTTTTTCGAACAGGCACTTGTCCAATTCGGCCAGCTCTATCTCTTGCCTTAACAGTTCTTGCCACCAACTCTCGATTTCCCGTCTATCTCTGTCTATGTCTGCAGAGAGCTATTCCCTGGATAGTTAGAGAATCATCACTCATTGTTGTGATCTACCTAAAGCCGAATCCAAGTCTGCTAAGGTGCGATTAATAGAGTCGGTCATGAGAGTCAGAGTTCCTGAGTGGCGGTCGATTGAAGAAGTGGTAAGTCTACAACAACCTCTGACAGTCCCTCGAGAATCCAGTTGAGCACTTGATTGGCAGGGGATCCGGCAGGCTGGTCACCCAGCAGACAAAGTAGGCTGTCCATTAGTTTATTTAATTCATCTTCAGTGAGGCTGGTAAGAGATCTCCCGACTATCTTGGAAATCGTCTGTCGGTTGTTAGCGGAAAGAGCAACGCGGAAAGGGGAGACAAAAATCCTGGGTCCTGTATAAAGAATTAAGAGTGAGTGTGTTGCGAATATGCTAGTAATAAAAGAAAATGCAAATTCAGCGATCTGGTCCTGAGTGGCCGTTTGGGCTGATAGGGCCAAGTACACGGATGGGTCGGACAAAACTTGAAGTCGTTGCGGAGCCGTCAGCGTTCGCGCTGAAGCTGCAGGAGAAAGGGCCGCTATTTCTTCCCTCATTTGGGATCGGGCGGCAGCCCCGCCAGTCAGCCCAACAAGGCACCCTTCGGGTGCATACGAGACCGATTCCTGAAATATGACAATAAGGAAAGCCGTGGGAGTTAAGTTATCATGAATGCACTAGCTTACCACGTATGACTCTTCATCTGGAATCTCACGTTAAGGGGAAAGAGGTTGCTCAGGAGCTTTTTCAGGCATTATTTGCAATTCGGCCGCTTTTGGCAGTCTTTATCTCTCTGCTGGTGATTCTGCACCTTGGTTGTTTGGTGATTGGCGGACCGTCCCCAATCCCTCTCCAGAAACTTCGACTAACTAGAAACTTAGCATATAAATACAACTCAAATGAGATATACATAGTTATTGAAAGCCAAAGGCTACCTGGACTAGGGGCCGGCCTCCGACTTCGGTAGGCACTAAGTGCTCAGAACGTGGAACATGGGGCAGACGAGATTTGCCTTTCGACCAGTGCCTCTATATTATGGTCAGTCATTGGCAAGTCGGTTGGTACAAGTGTTCGTGCGGCTGAAGTTGGGTTCGTCGGCACGTTGGTTGGACTGAAAATCGGGCTGGTAGCAGCTGGCGCAAGAGCAAGGTGTGATCAAGGAGAATGGGTAAGATTAAGGGTGTCCTGGAACGAGATTACCTGCTAGGGCTCGCTGTGCAGTGGATATTCGGAATTCAGGGAAGAGACTCATGTCTACTTGTAGAGAGGCCAGGTAATCTCTCCCGCTTTACGTTGCTCCTCTGAGCTCGCTGGCTGGGCCGTTGCTGGGGCTTTGGCCTTTTTTTGGGAAGAGCTAGCCCTACCAATCTGCTTCTCTCGTTTCCGTTTCGGTTGTGAGGCTCCCAAGGCAACCTGCCCCGTTAAATTTTGCGGCAGAAGAATCAGCTGAGACCCCGAATGGGTGGTCGGAGGGAAAAGGATCTTTACACAATCAACAATGGGCAGACCACAGACTAAGCCATCTCCGACCACCATTTTCGAAAGGCTGGGACGGTATTAGGGCAGTCACGGAAATGAGTGTAAATATGATTGATTAAATAATTGGTGAGTTGATCGGTGTATGGCTTGATGGCGTATTCGGCCACAACATTTTTGGCATGAGTTCGGACAAGGTGTGGGGTAAAGGTTAAAGCTGGGATGCCTTGACGACAGCCAAACTGATGCGCCAAGTAATGTGGGTAGGGGAATGCGGCATATGTCTTTTTTATTTTTTCGAGCTTTTTCCTAGCGAAAAGGGATCGAGGCTTTAGCGCCGCCTGCAAGGAATATTTGAAGGTCGGATGTGGAGATTCAGAGGATAGCGCATATGGAAAATGAATAGAAGGGGGAACATAGAAAGAGGGTGTGGCAAAAGCAGTAAGATGAAAATAGGAATAATAATTTGAATTTGTCAAATCGGTTTCCAAAATAGCTTTAAGGGTGGTCTCGGGGTCTTTATGATGTTTTCAGTCAGAACAAAGGAAGAGGATATATTGACCGAATGATATATCCGAATTGAGAAGAAGAGGTGGCTGTCCAAAAAAAAAGGAATGGAAGTACAGACGGTGCCAGAGTTTCAAAAACCAAATCGGACCGGAAAAGACGGTGTCAAGTTTGGTGGAGCTGGACAGTTTTGGGCAGGTTTTGGAAAGGCCCTCATAAAGGCTGGCAATGAACAAGGTACCGATTGAGAGAAATCGGCCCTGAGCCAGGTGAATTGCGATATCAGTATGGGTGTAGGTGATGGATTTGGAAGAGGGGCATATTACATATCTATTATGACCAGAATATAGACACGTATAAGAAAGTTGTACAATAAAGATAAAATGCTGAACTCGGAGAGAACCATGTATCTGCAGAGCCAGTACAACAGAAAGGCAACATGTTCTTTATCGGTCACCGGAGTGCCTGTCGCCCCACAGTGCAGTTTTACAAAAGGTCCCCAGGCCACGACTTTGTTGCACAGGGATGCCTTTATCGCCCAGCCGGGGTGGTCGGATGCTGGTTCTTGACTGATTAGGGTTTCGATTACCGGATCCTCCCCTACAATCGGAAGATGGGCGATCATGTTGACATCCATCAAGGTCGGGCCAATTGGCCCTGACGGCAGCAGAAACGCACTAACTTCCAGATCCCATAAAGTAGTCATGGCGAGAATTAGTGTGTCTTGAATGTTGAAGCTTTGGCAAGACAACAAAATCGCTTTGTCTAGCCCTTGCTGCTTCTATTGCTTTCCGAAGCTTTTCTCCATTTTTTCATACCAGGTACAAAATTCATCTTTGGGATCCAAAAGATTGGTCTTGATTCCGTCCCAGAGACGGGCGGCATTGAAGGCTCCGTCATAAATGGCGACGTGGCGGTTGTGTTGTAGAAAGTTAAGCGTAGGAGCTCCCTCAGAAACAGTGGAAACGAAGGGACGCACCACTGGAGTGATGGTAGAAGACGGATTCATCGCCAGTGGTGGAGCGGATTCATCAAAAGGGATGAGGGTGGTTATCTCCATGGGTGTACACACAAATGGCTAAAGTGAGTAATGAGAGCGATGGACTCAACAGGGTTTTTTCGGAAGAGGTAGGGAGAGGTATGTTGGCGATGAAAGGTTTTGTATATTTCCCTCCGCTTTTCGACGGTCATAATGATGATGGTGCAGACCTGGGATAGAGGAAATAAACCATCATGTCAAAATCACCGTCTTCGAGATGTGACTCTTAATATTCTCTGGGAGAGGAGGTAAGTTGTTGAGTTACGAAAAAATGGTGCCTAGGGTTTCGCTCCACGGGCCCATTAGGAAAAAGTGGGCCAACAAAGCCAAATTAAGTATAGAAATATCTTGCAGTGCAATTCGACAAGGCTGGTATTAAGGTGTGATGGGCTGAATGATTGAGAACTAGGAAGCACTGATTGAATGACTGGGGTATCCGAAAGCCAAAGAGGTGCACTCTTTGAAGTAACCGATTCTGGTTATTGGAGGTTCGGGAGGTAACCATCTGACGGTTACCCATAACCGGGTAACCGAATTCAACTGTTCGGAATTGGTGCGGACGAACGGAAAAAAAATGGGAACAGAAGAACACAAGGGAGGCCCAGTACAAATTTGAGATGCTAATTTCCTTTTAACATTACTTTTATTTAATGTAGAGATTTCGAAATTCTGTTTTAACAACTCTAGTGCTTAGGAATTCGTATATGATATCAGGCTAACTCATCAAATTCAAAGGTCTATCATTCTTTTTTTTAATTTTACTTTGCTTTGTTGGATTTCCCTGGCCAACAATACTATTTCAAACATCAGTAATATATAACCGGCAAGGAATATAGTCAAATTAGTAATGTAATTCAATCAAGATACCCGAAGAAAGCTAAGAGGCGAAATGTTTATATTAAAACATAAGTGTCACTGTAATAAGACGAGAATTACATGCAGATTCGACCTATATATCCGTTAAGATGGACTACTATATATATATGCATGGTATGCATGGTTGATTTCAACGTATTATTCATAATCCAGTATTTGCATACATGGATGTAGTAAATCTAGTCAATAATAATAATAATAATTAGGTAGCTAATATATATATGCAGAGGCTAGAGCATGGCCAATTGGTGTATGTTAATGGGATGAGCAAATGACGTGGAGGGAGTGGGAGAATCGTATGCTCTCTTGGCAAGCAATATATTGACGGCTTCCGTGGGGTGAAATGCATCCCAGAATATGTACTTTTGGCGATCCTCACATGGGGTTTCTAGAGGCAGGCATGTGATCTGTCCGTTATTTCTCCCCACCCCACAGCACCCCTTGTCCACCACCTCAAATCCATATGTCTTTGCATTCTCAACCAGATCTTGGCTGCTTCTGAATGAATCCAAGTACACAAATTTGGATCCTGGAAGCTGCTGGTTGTTATTGTTATTGTATCCATCCACCAATGCTTTGAGTCCGTTGTTGAAGAGGGCAATAGCACTGTTGATTTCCTCATTGCACGCGCTCCCGCTGCCATTGTATCGCGCCAACTCGTATGGAATGCACCCTATTTTCCCAATCCCACTCACAATCACTTTCCGAGCTCCCAGCTTGTATAATGCCTAATTAAGAAAACGGAATGCATGGTTAGGATATTGAATGGCTCAAATCAACATATATAATCATGATAGACAGCGTGTATACGATATTATATGATACTGATATTTTAACGTTACTGCATTTACTCACGGTACATGCAGTATAATTTTATATAGTATAGCATATTATTGATTTCACCGTAATAAATATATTAATATAGGCTGCAGATTCGGCCCAAGTCAGCATATTTTATATGAATGACAGTATATATTTATATATGTATATATATCTCATCATATGTTTGTGGTATAAGATAGCATATGTTTGAATTATAATATAATATAATATATGTTGTACTATAAATATACTAAAATATGTATAAATACATATTAATCATCCCTGTATCATATGTTGATCCGATCAAATAAATACGATGCTGATTTGATCATATCAACAATTGAACTATACCCATTTATATATCATAATACAAATTTAATATATGACACAGCTATATGTTGTGCAATATTGACGTTGTTTGTTTGATTTTATGTGTTGAAGAAGTATTGATTAGTGGCCATTGGAGAGAGAATTTATTCATCCATCCATGGATCGGTAATTAATCAATAATGATGGATAGAACTGAATTGAATGAAAGCAAATGAATGAATGAATTATAAGGAGCTTACTGTCAGCTGTTTGGAATAATCCTGGAGGAGAGAAGCGGCGTAAGCCTGTGGGGTGTACTGAGATCTTGTGGAATAGTAATCGGGCATGAAATAATTGTTGAGATAGTCGTTGCTGCCCAGTCCTGAGTAAAATATGCATTTGCTGAGATAGGCGGCCACTGCAGCATTGGCATCCCCCCTGAAATACAATCTCATCCTCTTCAGCTGCTCCACTGTCTCCCCAAACCTATCTACCTGCTGGTTCATCGACAAGTGATCCCCCTACATGCATGCATTTTTGTTAATTAATTCAAACTCAATTCTTTATAATTAATACCATTCTTTAATGGAACACAATAATCAATGTAACATACCAAATTATTGCCCGTTTCGTCTCTGATTCCAGAAGCTCCAGATGCATAGTTTGCTCCATCGAGTAATGCTCGTCCCCGGGCCCTCGCGAAAGGGAGGATATAGTTGCGAAACCCTAGCAATTGGGCTGAATCCACCACAAAATTAATCAATTAATTACTTAATTAATATGTATATACGTATGTACGTACGTACCTAGAACATCGACAAAAGTGCGAGAATTTGTAAAACGTCCAGTGGCGCCTTGAGGAAAGTCAATGCCATAAGGCCTGTAATTTGCTCTGGAAAGAGTGATCATGGCGTTGTTGTTGCCATTGTCCACAAGCGAGTCCCCGAATATGAACATGCCAATGCCAATGCCAATGCCAGGCACCACCTGCTGCTCGCTACTATTAACCATCATATTCCTATTATTATTATTATTATTATTATTATTATTGTACGGCGGTAATTCATGTGGCTGTGAATCAATTTCACCTGCTGCTGCTAAATATAAACAACATACAGTAAACAGTCCTACTACTGCCCGCGCCTCCGCTATGGCCAAATCGCAGGAATTCGCCATATTAATTAATCACTACTTGAGCAAACATATGTATGTGTGGGTATATATATATATATATATATGTGTGTGTGTGTGATATATAATAAGTTGCATGAACACGTTAATTTGGATGGGGGGTTGATGGAAAGGTGATTCCCCGTGAGATGATATATGTATATAATAATAACTGAAAACTTTATGTTGGATGTTGGTCTGTTCGTTATTAATTAGCTAGATGTTGGTGTGCATGTACGTACCTACAATTAATATATGTAGAGTTGAAGGAGGAGCATTTACGCGGGAGCAGCCAGCTAGGGTAGCTAGCGGTGGCATGGCTAACTTCACGTGATTCACCCACGCAGTTTTAGGTTTTGATTAAATTGACAATTTTGGAGTTATGAAATTTTAGAATATTTTGAATCTAAACTAATATAATCGAGATAAATGCCTTTAGATAGAAATTTTGAAAATGTTTTTTTTTTAGTTTTTTACAGCAACATAATACGAAATAATTTATGTGATTAATGATATCGAAATGAAATATTGATTTAATATGTTTAATAGAAAAATTAATTTAATTTAATATATTAATACAAATATAATTGTTGGATTTTTTGATTCAATTAGATCCACCCCAATATAAGATACATACCCGCTATGCAGCCCATTTTATACCTGGCCCTGCCTCACGACCCGCACCCGCCACCAGAACCGCCTGTACCCGCGACCCGGACCGAACCCGCGACCCATGACCTGATCCGTCTTGGATCCGCGTCTAGCCTTGATCTTGGCCGTCTGATTGTGGATCTTGATCTGGTCCGTCCGTTGCTTAATTGAGATAAATATATATACTGAGAGAGAGAAGGGTTTCACTTATTCTACTCACTTACGTTTCTCTCTCTATACAACTTTTCCTCTCTAGCTCTTCCCTCTCTCTACCTCTCGACCTTTCTGTTTGCCTTCCAGTGACTGTTTCCGGTGGTTTCACTGCGGTTCTCAGTGGCGCCTCCCTCCTGTAACTTGTGAAGGTTCTTTGGCGTGGCGTTTCACCCCTTGGTGTTGTTCGTAGCCGCAAAGGGCTCGTTCGACTTGTAGGCGTCTGTATTTTCTTTTGTTTCGTCTTGTATGTGAGTGTGGAGGTTGATTTGTGCTTGAGTTGTGTGTTTCGGGCCGGTTTAAAGTGTGTAGTCGCTAGTAGGTGCATTTTGTGTGTCGATTTACTGTTTTGAGTGGTTAGGGGCTGAACCTAACCAAAACTAGTATAATATTTGTGTTTTTACTCATTTTTCGTTAATAAAATTCTCGATCTATTCCGCATTTGTCATTACAAGTGGTATCAGAGCTTTTTGGTGAAGTTTTCTTTACAAAATTATCTTTATCTTTCGATTTTGTAAAGATCTGGTTTAAATCTTCAAGATCTAAAAGGATCCGGTTGAATCGGCCTATTTTTTAAGTGCTTGATTCTTTTCCTTTTTTATATCTTTGTCAAAATCGGCTCATTGTGTTTCGTTCTCTGTATTTTAGCCTTGGTTGAGTTTTTTCTTTTACGAAATCGTCTTTACTCTTTGATTTTGTAAGGATCTGCTCAAAACCAAAGCGATCCGTAAGAAATCGAAAGGATCCGGTTGAATCGAACATATTATACTGTGTTCGGTTCTTTTCCTTTGATTTCGAGTCTATATCGGCCATTGAGTTTTTCGATCCGTGCTAATATAGCCGCAGTCGAACTCTTAATGTTGGGTTTTGGACTTAATTGCTACTGTTTTGTGTAGATCGATTAAGTTTGAGTCCATTTCGGTTAGAACGGTTCAAAATCGTTTCGATTTGTTGAAAACCGATTTTGTCCGTTGTTATTTTAAGAAAATAAATCGTAAAACTTGTTGCTTCGCCTTATTTTCGTTTAGATATATGCTTGTTGGGTTAAAATCCAAAAGTTTTTCAAGAATCTTTAAAACCAAAATTATTTTTTGAAAGATTTTGTTAAAACTGTTTTTTGTGGCCTAGTGTCTCTGTTCGTGAGTTTCGGTGAGTCTAACTTTGTTTAGAGGAGAAACATTATTTCTGCTTTTGTTGTTATTAGTTGGCTAACCCCCATTCTTGAAAAAGAATAGGTCATTTGTATATCTACCCTTGTACTGCTGTAGGGAATATATTGTTGCTGTGCTTCGAGGTAAACTCTATAACCCTAACTATTTTTGTTACTGTTATTTTTTTCTTAGTTTAATATCCGCATTCCGCCCAATCGATTATAAAGGCTATTGTGATACCAAGGTTGCAAAACTCCGATCCTCACTCTTGTTAGTGATTCTCGAGTACCTTCGGTGGAATAGTCATGAGTGAATGTTGTAATAGATAGCCTTTTTGTTAATTTTTTGCTTGTGATTGCAATATTCTGTGATATATTTGTTGCTGTGTTTGATTGTTGTGTTTGTTTTCTGTGAATTGCTATTGATGTGTTGTGATTTGGGTGTTTGTTTGGTTCTCAATTTGTTTAAATTAATCTGTATTTTTATAAACTGTTTTTTCACAATAAACTGCTTTTTTAAAACAAACAGTTTTTGCCAAACAAATTGTGTTTTTCGGAAATTTTTTTTTTTTAACTATTTTTTAAAACTGTTGATCATGGTTGGGCAAACCTTTTTCAATATCCAACCTTTTGATGGAAAAATTGATTTTTCTATTTGGAAACAAAAAATGAGAAGTATACTTATTACTTAAAAATTAATAAAGGCTGTGGAGCCGGATCAAGCAACCACAATCCCTCTTGAAAAGAGGGCTAAGTTGGATGAAATGGCTTCGTCTTGTATAATTCTAAATTTAGCTGATCATGTAATTCGTAAGGTTGGTATACAAGAATCTGCTATGGCATTTTGAAATAAATTGGATAAATTATATACTCAAACTTCTTTACCTAGTAGGCTTTATTTGTTAGAAAAGTTCTTTAGTTTTAAACTTGATCAATTTAAAACTATTGATGAAAATCTTGATATTTTTCAAAAATTAATTCAAGATATTAAGCTTACTGGTGATAAGAATATAGATGATTATAGTGCTATAATTCTTTTGAATGCAATTCCAAGTGCTTTTCCTGATGTAAAATCGGCAATTAAATATGGGCGTGATTTTGTGACTTTAGATGTGGTTATTAATGGTTTGAAAAGTAAAGAATTAGATTTGAATGTAAATAAATCTAATAAATCTGGTGATGTTATGTTTATTAAGGGTAGGTCTCCTTTTAGAATTACGGACAGAAAGACCCTATGAAGCTTGACTGTTCCCTAGGATTGGGTTTGGGCCTTTCCTGCGCAGCTTAGGTGGAAGGCGAAGAAGGACTCCTTCCGGCAGGGCCCCAGGTTCAGGGGGGTAAATGCATTAAAAGGGGACAAATTTTAGCAGATGGTGCTGCTACAGTTGGTGGCGAACTTTCTTTGGGGAAAAACGCATTAGTGGCTTATATGCCATGGGAGGTTACAATTTTGAAGATGCAATACTTATTAGTGAGCGTTTGGTATATAAATATATTTATACTTCTTTTCACATACGGAAATATGAGATTCAGACTCATGTGACAAGCCAAGGTCCTGAAAGGATCACTAACGAAATACCACATTTAGAAGGCCATTTACTTCGCAATTTGGACAAAAATGGAATTGTGGTCTTGGGATCTTGGGTAGAGACGGGTGACATTTTAGTAGGGAAATTAACGCCCCAAATCGTGAAATAATCATTGTATGCTCCCGAAGATAGATTGTTACGAGCCATACTCGGCATTCAAGTATCCACTTCAAAAGAAACTTGTCTAAAACTCCCTATAGGTGGTAGGGGCCGGGTTATTGATGTGAGGTGGATCCAGAAAAGGAAAGGTTCTAGTTATAATCTCAAAACGATTCGTGTATATATTTCATAGAAACGTGAAATTAAAGTAGGCGATAAAGTAGCTGGAAGACACGGAAATAAAGGGATCGTTTCCAAAATTTTGCCTAGACAAGATATGCCTTATCTGCAAGATGGAAGACCCGTTGATATGGTCTTCAACCCATTAGGAGTACCTTCACGAATGAATGTGGGATAGATATTTGAATGTTCGCTGGGGTTAGCAGGGAGTTTGCTAGACAGACATTATCGAATAGTTCCTTTTGATGAGAGATATGAACAAGAAGCTTCCAAAAAACTAGTATTCTCTGAATTATATTAAGCCAGTCAGCAAACAGCGAATCCGTGGGTATTTGAACTCGAGTATCCAGGAAAAAGCAAAATATTTGATGGAAGGACGGGAAACCCTTTTGAACAACCCGTTCTAATAGGAAAGCCTTATATCTTGAAGTTAATTCATCAAGTTGATGATAAAATCCACGGACGTTCCAGTGGACATTAAGCACTTGTTACACAACAACCCCTTAGGGGAAGGGCAAAACAAGGGGGACAACAAGTAGGAGAAATGGAGGTTTGGGCTCTAGAAGGATTTGGTGTTGCTCACATTTTACAAGAGATGCTTACTTATAAAGCGGATCATATTAGAGCGCGCCAAGAAGCACTTGGTACTACAATCATTGGAGGGACAATACCTAATCCTGAAGATGCTCCAGAATCGTTTCAATTGCTCGTTCGAGAACTACGATCTTTAGCTCTGGAATTGAATCATTTCCTTGTATCTGAGAAAAACTTTCAGATTAATAGGAAAGAAGTTTAATCGGAAGAAATTAGAATTTTTTTCTATGATCGATCGGTATAAACATCAACAGTTACGAATTGGATTAGTTTCTCCTCAACAAATAAGCGCTTGGTCCACGAAAATCCTCCCTAATAAGAGATAGTTGGAGAGGTGACAAAACCCTATACTTTTCATTACAAAACCAATAAACCGGAAAAAGATGGATTATTTTGTGAAAGAATTTTGGACCTATTAAAAGTGGAATTTGTGCTTGTGGAAATTATCGAGTAATCGGAGCTGAAAAAGAAGACCCAAAATTTTGTGAACAATGTGGAGTCGAGTTTATTGATTCTCGGATACGAATATATCAA